CAATGTAGGGAGGAGACATTTCCGGGGCGAGGAACATTGAGGGGCGAGCCTGAGAAACTGCTACTCTCCAGGCGCCATCTTTCACAATATTTCCCGCCAAAACCTGTGCTGGTGGGAACGTCCGTTGCGGCGGGAAATTGTTGGCCACCAAGAGCCTCCCATTCAAACCTGCCCAGTGTTGACGGCCGGGAGGACCCCAGGCCTGTGGTCCTCCACCAACGGGGTTTAATAGTGACGGCTGCACTGCTCGCACTGATTCTTTACCTGCACGATTAGCGGTGATCACTCCCACAGGATATTAATCACTGAATGAATCTGATCAGAGGAAAGGAGAGGAGGAAGTGAGGCAGTAGTCTGACATATCCACAGTGAACGGTTAGTCACTGGGCGTAAAAAGATACATTCCTGGTGGGTTTTGGGATACCCGACGGGCGGGGCGGGGGTGTAGGGAGTCGCCCGCACACCCGTTTCCTTCCGGCTAACCCACTTCCCCGCCCAGGACCTCCTAGGAGCCGCGGGGGCACCCTTCCGCAAGAGCCCGGGAGGGGAGGAGGAGGGCAGGACACAGGGGAAATAGTCAACAACACCAGTAAGGCGCCTCACCAGCCCCTGACACAACACACGCCGGCGGCCACACTGTTGCGGTTAGACTCGTGCTTTGAGGCGCCGCGTCGACGTTTTACTCTCTATTACATTATGAATTACGAGTCCTTAACTCCAGAAATTGTAGGTACAGCTCTTGTACGTGTTGGAGGCTATACTTCCGGGTGGCGGGAGGCTCGCCCTGGTACAGCACTCATCCTGCACACGTCCTCACAAGTCGACCTGTCTCCTGGCTCACCAACCTCACTCCTCAAACAACTATAACAACTGAAAGACGTCGTTTAATAATAACACCTACAATAACATACAAAATAACAAAATAAATACGTCGCCAAACTTTATTTAAGACAACATAGGTATAACAGTGAAGGTTTTAGTCAAGTAATTTACCGTAACAGTTCACACGTGACGACTGGCCAGCTTCTCATGCCTCTCACCCACACTGTAATTTGAACACATCTGCACCGCGACCATAACAACTGTATTAACCTGGAGGACGGATATTTTGCCTTGTTAGATTAGAACTACATACACACACATGTACGTTGTTAGGTTAAAATAGGTTAGGTTAGCGTTAGCGTTAGGTTAAGTTAGGTCAGGTTAAGATAGGTAAAATTAGTGGTAGGTTAGGTTAGCGTTAGGTCAGGTTAAGATAGGTTAAATTAGTGGTAGGTTAGGTTAGGTTTGTGTTCGGGGTGTCTAATCTTCAAGTGATCTGTTTACCCTTTATCCATACTGTGACAGTTAAGGTGTCAGAGGTGTTGTGAACCAACAGCCGGGACAAAGGCGAGGTTACGGTAATGGTGTGAAGTCGTCCTTGTTCATATAACACCAGCAGCAGAGGCCGCGCCCTCCTGACCCTCCCTCCACACACACACACACACACACACAACAACAACACGGTGTTTGTGGTCTAAATTTATCTGTTGGTTCTCTCACCATCATCTGGCGAGTAACAGTGACCCCCCCCCCCTGGTCTTGGGCCACCTTGGTCATCATTATCTAACACATCGCTGCTTTAACTCTTAACAATGTAGGAATATGGGGGGTGGGTCAAGAGTCATAGAGGCCCCCCATTAATGAGGCACTAAGGCCTCATGGAGCAACTTATTAACCAGAGTGTTAACAAGGCATCGAGCTATTAGATCAATTTATAACATTACAAGTTAAAGAGGTAACTTTAACAGGCTGGCCGAGGTGTTCACCACACCAGGCGAGCCTCTGACTACACAGCCACCGTGTGCACATATTGTATTCAGTCTCCGTCTGATGCAGACAGAATGCGTATTGCACAAGACAGGGACCATAACAAGTGTTGATGGCGGCTGGCGGCCACCATCACTGTGGTGGTGGTGAGGTGTGGCGGTGCGTGCGGGGGGCGGCGCCGGCACGCCCCTGTGGTGGCGGTGGAGGAGCTGGGTGGCCTCGGCGGGCAGGTGTGTTCCCATAGCTGGCGGCCCAAGACGTTCCCACGCCGCGCGGCGAGGAAGGACGCCCCGACATGCTCCGTTCTCCTCCGCCACCCATGCTTGCCCCCGCCCGACATTCCCACACACGGAGTCTCCACCACCGTCACTCTGCCCCAACACTCAACCTCTCAAAACCTCGTAACAGCTTCACGCCCTCTCGCAACAATGAATCTTCAAGGATTTACAGTGAACTGAGGAGGAGGTGTAGGCGAGTTGAGCAAGAATGGTGACGCACACTTCCCGTGGTCCGGGATGCAAGGGCGCCTCACCTCTGATCCCGGCCATTCATTCGCCCGGAAACCCGTAACGTACGCTGCCTCAAGTGCGCGCCGCTGCCCTCACCTCCCCATTATCGGCTTATCTAACCTGATATGCTTTAGTACCAGCTTAACACCCTGACGTTAACCCCCCAACACTCCCCATTCTCACTAGGTCCGTCTACCTACACATCCCCCTCCTCCCTCACCCCACTTCGCCCCCCCCCCCTCGCAACCCCCCGGACGGAGGTGGTGATGAAGGCCAGGGCGTCTTGAGCAGGTGGTTTCCCATAGACAGATTCGTCAGGATTTTCCCACAGCGTCTTAAATTGGTAGTTAGGCGGCGGAGTGAGCGCGGTGTTCCGGTGTGCGTCGTGCTATATGCGAGTTCACCTTCCGCTCGAGTTTTTTGCCGGGAAGTCCGTCCAACAGACTGCAGGACGTACGCAAAACGCAGAGAATTATGCTTCCAAATTCTCACAATGGAAAGGACTGACTTAAGCACGAGAAGAGATTCACGTCAACACTAAAACACGTACAAAGATCATAGAGGACTAAACAGGTATTGATGATAAAAGGTTAAAGGAACAACATCTCAACAGGATTCATATATTAGCATAATACCAACCTCTCACAGGCAGGATTTAGGCAACTGTACAGAGGGTGAGGGAGGGAGTCTTGTGGCCTTGACTGTGTGAACACTTTAGACTATGTTCTCGCTACTCAGCTGTACGTGAGAAACAATAACCACAAGAACATTAATATAACATTGACCCTGAACCAAAACTCACTTGTAATAATAAAGAAAACGTAAGAGAGTAATGATAAACACACATACATACATACATACACACACATACATACATACATACATACATACATACATACATACATACATACATACATACATACGTACATACATACACACATACATACATACCTTTTTGCTTGTAGACATAAATAATACAAAGATACAGACCAGGTCCTGTACCACACGAGGCTTCATAACACACAAGCAATACACAGGGTAAGAGTGAGTAGTTAATCAGTCCTTCCTTCATTCCTTCCTTCCTTCCTTCCCTCCATCCTTCCTTTCCTTCCTTCCCTCCATCCTTCTTTCCTTCCTTCCCTCCCTCCTTCCTTCCTTGCCCTCTTAAGACTCGGTTGAAGCCATTTACCAAAGGCCTCACACATCACTGATATGACTGGTGAGTGACCGAGAATAAGTGTACACATTATAACTAAACATTACTCAGACCTAAACATTACTCCCACCTAAACATTACTCCCACCTAAACATCACTCCCACCTAAACATTACTCCCACCTAAACATCACTCCCACCTAAACACTACTCCCACCTAAACATCACTCCCACCTAAACATCACTCCCACCTAAACATTACTCACACCACCAGTCATTGCACCAACACCTCGTGGTACTGCTGATACACATGCACCCATTATCTGATTACTCAGCTCCTCGTCCAGGTATCTTATAAAACTCTTTCTCATGACAGGTAAACAGACGCGTCCAACATCATAATAGTGTGTTGCTGTATCTTATTGTATTTTGTTGTATTGCTGTATTGTATAACTGTATTTTGTTGTATATCATTGTATTGGTGTCCCTTATTGTATTACTGTATCTTAATGCATTACCAAACTTAAATAAAAAATAAAACAAATAAAACCAGATTGTTATTTCGATCAAAGTTAACACAACATTACTCAGTTTCTTAAATCACTTTACACCAACAACCCCCAAATGTTATAAGTATATGGTAATATATAAGTAACTTCAATACTATCATAGAGACTTCAATAATAAACTACTGGTGAATGATACACGTCTCGTTAGTTCAATCACCATCTTGGTTCGGTTCAATCTGGCAAGAAGCGATAGTTTGTAGGTGTCAAGCTTTTACTTACACAGTGGCGCTGGAGGTGGGTGGGTGGGGGTTGAGGAGTGGGTGGGGGCTAAGGGGGGGTGGGGGGGGGGGGGGTATCGAAATATTGCTACAGTGTGTAAAGTGATGGTGTTCCTCCTCCTGTGTTACGTGTTCCTTGCACTCCATACATAACACAGCAGCCCCCATCACCATGTTGAGCTGTAGTGAGGATATCAACCCCGCTCATGTACACAGCTGTTAAATATAAATACCTTCAAGTTAAACTGTCAGTAATGATTAACTGTACCCAATGACTGTCCAATATGTATACCAGTCCATAAGTCGACCAGTCATGCATTACTCCGTCCATAACACACGTTCATCATCTGAGTTAAGTTATTATTGTGGATTAGGATGTGTTTTTATATATTCTCAACCGTTTTGGTCATATTTTTCCTTGTTGGGTTACTTGTCGGATATATATAGCAACTTTCTTCTTACAATTGTTAATAAGTATCCATAGTATTACCAAAGTTTATGTATCTTTCAGCTGTTAATAATAATGATTCATGTATATTCATATTAATACAATATGTTGTGTAAGTAAGTATTCCTACAGGGCAAATATCTCCTTCAGATTCAGGTTATATTCTGTATTGGACAAGTTTCTCATTTCTTCCTTTTGTCATTCCTTTGAAACATTTACTCCATGTATAGAAAAATGTGTCAATATTTTGCTGATAAATATTAATATGTGCAGAGGAGACAACAAAGATGGTGTACATTCGGGACTGTTTTATTAACAAGAATAACAAAATAAATATTGTATTAACTCTGTATGTATGAAAGACAAGTATCACAGTGAATATCACAGCGCAGCGTGTGCGCAGCAGCGGGCCGCGGGTCTCTTGTGTGCGCCAGGGAGACGCAGCCTCAGGTCTCTCGTGCGTGCTGGGGGCGGCGAGACAACAGGCGGGCCTCGGGTCTCTCGTGTGTGCTGGAAGCGGCGAGACGTAGGCGACGCAGCAGGTCTCTCGCGTGTGCCAGGGAGTACAGACCAACTTCTGGTGCTGGGGGCGGCGAGACGCAACAGGTGAGGCGTCTCTCTTGTGTGCCAGGATCAGGAGACTTGGGTCTCTCGTGCTGGGGACATAGAGACTCGGGCGACGGGGCACAGGCACTCAGGTACTGGGGGGCGGGCTCTCTGGGCCGCCACATTACCAGGGACGCCACATCGGGCTTCCTGAGGGCACTCCCACACGGCCAGGGGCGGACACCTGCTGGCTGGGGCTGCTGGGTTTGGGGCTGACGGCGGTGGGCTGAGGAGAAACCATGACGGGCATGCTGGTGGGGCTGGGTTTGCTCTCCGGGCTGGCTGGTGGAGTGTACACACGGGGCACTGTCACTGTGATGGGCACCATGTTGGGAGGCGTGGAGGTGGGCGTGACCGCGGGCGTGATGGGCGCGGCGGGCTGTGGCACAGAGATCTTGTCTATTTGATTGATGCAGCTGCCAAGGTGTGACAAGAGGCGGGTGGAGACGTGGATGTCGACGCCAGGCACCGAGGTCACAAAACGAGACACTTCATTAGCACAGTGTGTAAATCCTGCACGGAACTTGTCGTGGGCGTGATTGTGAGGGGGCAGGGCGAGGGCGTGGTGTTGCTTCAGTTTCCGTAGGTGACGAACTGTCAGCTCCAACACATCGGCCTTCTCCAGCTTGGTGATGGTCTCGCCCTCAGACTGAAGGGCTCCTACCATCAGGTCCTTGAGTTCATCGAGGCACTTGTTGATGCGGGCCCTCCGCTTGCGTTCCAGCATGGGTTTCATCACCTTGCGGTACTGGTAGGTGCGGGACAGCGGCTCCACATCCTCAATGTTCACTTCGTATGTTGACGCCATAGCGAGAGTCAAGCGTGTGTGTCTGAGTGCTCGGGTATCCAGTAAGGCACTACAGTTTCTCTTAGCAGGTTGAGAGAGAGTATGTTCGACCTCGCACCGCACCGCCGTTCTTATACACCAGAGGGCCGAGTTGCCAAGCGTCGCCAACCACTGCCGTGAAAAGGCTTCAACTTGGGCCTAAACAATATGTAATAGTTATATTCCTTTTTATTCTCACTAACCGACACTTATAATACTCAAGCAATAACTGCACGCAATAAATACCCAAACTTAATAGCATTAATCTGTAAAATAATAAAAGGTAGACATATAGTGGCGGCGTGTGGCATGAGAGTGTAGGAATGTGGCTGCACCGTGGGAACAGGCGCGTTCCCACAGCCGGGCAGCGCGCACACCTGCACCCTGACTCGTGCCCGCGCCTGCCACGCCTCGCCACACACGCTCTCTACAACTCATTATCCACGCGCTATTTACGTACCTCTATACGTAGTTTGACAACAAGTGTTCTCCATTGCTCTCATTCCCAACGACCATAAAACAAAGGAGGAACCAGCTCGTCAACACACCTAGCTTGGAGCATCATTAGACGGGAGGGCAGCAACAAGTGGTAACTCCCTGGTGCCAGACACACTATGAAGCACTGAGTACGTATATTATTATTAAGCCTCATTCTCCGTATCTACTGGCAGACTACTGGGTTTGGGTATCACTCTGGCTCTCCACCATCCCATCAGTAATACTTGTGGACGGTTAGATAGTGAGGATGGTGAGGGCGAGGCGGTATAGACGTTGTTACTGGTGAGTGTGGTGAGCGTGGGACAGCGGTTCTGTTATGGTGTCACTTTGGTTACTGCGACCACCGCCTCCTTGGGACAGCCGTCTTCACATTCATAACACGTTGGCCAGTTGTTACCATGAGGAACGTTCATTAATGACCCTCCTGTGAACTGACCAAGACACGGGCCAACAGAGAGAGACAGTTAAGTGGTTTATTAATGTGGTCATGGTTGTCCCATATACCTGTGGGTGGCAGGGAGGGAGGGAGGGCATGGCCTGGCACCCGCACATCCACAGGGCGCTGAGCACAGGCGGGCGGTCGCCTCACCCACCTTCTGCTGTCTACTTGTTTTTTTTTTCCTCCGCTCAAGTGACCTTCTGCAGCAGCTTACGGTTATATCTATCATCTTTGTCATTCTCGGGGGGGGGGGGAGTAGACGAACAAATACTTGATATTGTAGGTTGTGAGAAGATAATGAGGGAGGAAGATAAGGAGAGGCTGATAGATCAAGACGGCGGAGGGTGGCGCTAAGCTGACAACTCCCACGTGGACAACTGCCGACTTGTGGGTGGCAGCAGGCAGACACACCCACACCACCACTCAACTATCGTACTACCAATCACAACACAACTTTCGTCTACACGTCATCATCCCGACACACACACGGCCACCTGATGAAGCACCGCTGGAACACTTGACACAACGGCTGACTTACAAATTCATCCTACAAACTGGACCATTTACCAGGTCACACGTTCCCACGTTCTGAATAATCCACTTTAATTACCCTAAAGTATATAAACTACCAAATGTTTTTAGTTCACGTGATAGACAATTACTTAATGCATCCTTAACACCAAGCAAAAAGATAAAAATATGAATTGTGGATAAAGAAAATCGGAGCTTCAAAAAGGTGTAGCATCGTGCATCAGTTTATGGTTTCAGGCAGGCTGGAGTGACCTGCGTCGCTCCCACTTTCTTTAAACTTTAAGTAACACCATCGTCATCCACACCTTATTTAGTAACGTTATTTAACACTTTACACACATATAATCTATATATATATAAGGCGAGATAAATTACAGGGTAGTGTCATGGGGGAGGGGGGCTGTCGACGGCCAGGCTGTGAATGAGAAAAACAAGGCAGGGAGGGACGCAGTGACCACCCGCCTCGCACACTCGCCGCGCACGCCCTCCCTCACACCCACAATTTATGGCCTTATTTACTTTGCTCTTTTTAAGGACTTGCCCTGTAATGTATTTATAATCCTGAGATAATTTTGTTTTCTTACAGCGGGGAGACCCGGCAGCAGCACCGTGGGAGTGGGGAGAGCAGCACCGTGGGAGTGGGGAGAGCAGCACCGTGGGAGTGGGGAGAGCAGCACCGTGGGAGTGGGAAGAGCAGCACCGTGGGAGTGGGAAGAGCAGCACCGTGGGAGTGGGTCGCGCCTCACACTGATTTCATTACCAGTGGCCGAACATGTGACGGCCGTCCCTAACACGTGCACTCCCACATAGTGGCGGTAAGTGCACGTGTTGGTGTAAGTTCATGCTGGTAGTTGGTGGTGCACGTGTCCTCATGGTGGTCACACGTGCTGCACGTGACCACCATACTGGTATTGGGCAGTGCACGTGCACTTACCCTGACCCCTGACACATTATCATCTAGTGCACGTGTCGAAGCTGAGCCCATGGTGGCGCCTTGATGCCATGGGTCGGCCTGATGGTGCTGGTCAGGGGTGCCACCACGGCTCTACCTCAGACTCCTACCTAACCTAACCTAACCTAACCTAACAACAGTCACCAAACAAACATGACTGAGTAAACATCTGTCCCCAACCATATTTTCATTGTATAATTATTTCGCCCAGGATAGAAGACTCACCTGTCGTCATCCTCTCCGGCCACACACTTACTATGACCGTCACGCCACCACCACACACCTGGTGTACATGTGACACCCCTCCCCCCCCCCTCACCTGCATACTAAACATTAACGAATCAAGACGTCAACAGTTGCTTGGGGTCACCTGAAGACGACACACCTGAGCTAATTAAACAGCCTAACGCTACCTGGGGAGGATCAGGTTGCGGTGTTTACTCATCAAGTGAAACAATCTGGGGTGCCTAAACTTCACGTGGTCCATTTTCTGTTTTGGATAGCATGATGGTGACTGGTGGTGATAGTGGTAGTCGTTGCTGGTAGTATTAAATGGTGGTACTATATAGGTGGTAGACACACACACACACACAGGCCGGAAGTTCGATCCGTCCACTGTCCACCAATCACGACCGTTGAGCATTAATTACTACACAGCCTGAAGTGTGTGTGTGTGTGTGGGAGGGCGCGTACAGAGACTGTGTGTGAATGGATGAATGAATGGAGGGGGGGGGGGATAGGTAGATGGGTAGGCGGTGTGGCGTGTGGATAGTACTACTAATGTCGCACCTTGTCATGATGGATAGACGGATGGATAAAGGATGAAGAAGAATGATGGGGGAAGGAAGGGAAAAGGAGTAAAGAATAGAGAGGAGAAAGGGAAGGTAATTGAATCTAATTGTTTATTTACTTCCTACGTTTATCATCTTTCTTCTCTTCTCCTGCTCCTCTATCCTCTTCATTCGTCTGTTATTCTCTCTCTCTCTCTCTCACATTGTCTTTTTTTATTTTCCACTTTCCTACGTCTTATTTATCGTTCTTCCCCTTCTCCCTGCTTTATTATCTTCCTTCTGCTCCTCCTCTCCTCCTCCTCCTCTCCCTCACATCACCCCTCTCTCCTCCTTCCCCACATCACCCTCTCTCCTCCTCCTCTCCCTCACATCACCCTCTCTCCTCCTTCTCACATCACCCTCTCTCCTCCTTCTCTCCTCACTTCACCCCTCTCCTCCTCCTCTACATCACCCTCCTCCTCCTCTCCTTCACATCACCCCTCTCCTCCTCCTCTCCTCACATCACCCTCTCTCGTCCTCCTCTTCCTCATCACCCTCTCTCCTCTCCTCCCTCCATCCCTCTCCTCCTTCTCTCCCCTCACATCCTCTCTCCTCCTCCTCTCCCCTCATCACCCCTCTCCTCTTCCTCTCCCTCACATCACCCCTCTCTCCTCCTCCTCTCCCCCACATCACCCCTCTCTCCTCCTCTCCTCTCATCACCCCTCTCCTCCTCTCCCCTCATCACCCTCTCCTCCTCCTCTCCCCTCACATCACCCTCTCTCGTCCTCCCTCTTCCTCACATCACCCTCTCTCCCTCCTCTCCCCTCATCATCCTCTCTCCTCCCTCCTCTCCCCTCACATCACCCCTCTCCCTCCCACATCACCCTCTCTCCTCCTTCTCCCTCACTTCACCCCTCTCTCCTCCTTCTCTCCCTCATCACCCCTCTCTCCTCCTCCTCTCCTCCCATCACCCCTCTCTCCTCCTCTCCCCTCACTCCACCCTCTCTCCTCCTCTCCCTCCACTCACCCCTCTCCTCCTCCTCTCCCCTCCACACCACCCTCTCTCGTCCTCCCTCTTCCCTCATCACCCTCTCTCCTCCTCTCCCCTCCCTTCACCCCTCTCTCTCCTTCTCTCCCCTCACATCACCCTCTCTCCTCCTCCTCTCCCCTCATCACCCCTCTCCTCTTCCTCTCCCCTCATCACCCTCTCTCCTCTCCTCTCCCTACATCACCCTCTCCTCCTCTCCCCTCCATCACCTCTCTCCTCCTCTCCCCTCATCACCCTCTCCTCCTCCTCTCCCTCACATCACCCCTCTCTCGTCCTCCTCTTCCTCACATCACCCTCTCTCCTCCTCTCCCCTCATCATCCCTCTCTCCTCCTCCTCTCTCCCTCATCACCCCTCTCCCTCCATCACCCTCTCTCTCTTCTCCTCTCCTCACATCCCTCTCTCTTCCTCCTCTCCCTCACATCACCCTCTCTCCTCCTCCTCTCCCCTCACATCATCCTCTCTCCTCTCCCTCCCTCCCACCCCTCTCTCTCCTCTCCCCTCACATCATCCTCTCTCCTCCCTCCTCTCCCCTCCCATCACCCTCTCCCCTCATCCCTCTCCTCCCTCCTTCCCCTCCTCTCCCCTCCACATCACCCTCTCTCTTCCTCCCTCTCCCCTCCCATCATCCTCTCTCCTCCTCTCCCTCCCATCACCCTCTCTCCTCTTCCTCTCCTTACATTACCCTCTCCTCCTCTCCCTCCCTCTGCCTCTCTCCTCCTCTCTCCCACATCATCCTCTCTCCTCCTCTCCCCTCCCTTCACCCCTCTCCCCTCCTCACCTCTCTCTTCCTCCTCTCCCCTCACATCACCCTCTCTTCCTCCTCTCCCCTCATCACCC